CTGAGGGCTGGGGTAGTAGTATGATTAAGCCCATCTCCTACTTCTCCTTCTCAAGTGCTTTACAGCTGTTTGTGAGTTGTGCTCTTTTACACAATGAGTCCTGTCATGATTGCCCTTGAGTAACCCCCACCCCCGTCTCGTTTTCCCCACATATGGAAGCTATAAAAGCACAAACCATGAGAAAGGTATGTGGGGCTTTACAACCACACCCTGGTGCCAGGAATGTGCCTGGCCTCAAACTCACTGTGTAGTTTAAGATGCCCTTTAAAAAAAAAAAAAGCCAGGTGAGCTTCATTCCTGAGACTCACTGGCCAGCCAGCCTACCCTGAAGAGAGAGCCCCAGTTCCTAGGGACAGACCTTGTCTAAAAAAAAAAAAAAAGCCAGGCAGTGGTGGTGCACACCTTTAATCTCAGCACTTGGGAGGCAGAGGCAGGTGGGTCTCTGTGAGCTGGAGACCAACCTGATCTATAAGGGCTAGTCCTAGGACAGCCTCCAAAGCCACAGGAAAACCCTGTCTAGAAGAAGAAGAAGAGGAGGAGGAGGAAGAGGAGGAAGAAGAAGAAGAAGAAGAAGAAGAAGAAGAAGAAGAAGAAGAAGAAGAAGAAGAAGAAGAAGAAGAAGAAGAAGAAGAAGAAGAAGAAGAAAAGGTAGGGCTGGCAAGAATAGATCAGAGGGAGGATAGGTATCCAGCCACAAAGCCTAAAGACCTGAGTTCCATCCCACATGGTAGAGGGAGAGAAATGACACCTCCACGTTGTCCTGAGTTCCATATGCTAGCTATCAGAGCTACCACACACACACACACACACACACACACACACACACACACACACACACACATCAATCCATCTATTCATCCAAGAACAAAACAAAAAAGCCCCAGAAGCCCCAGAAGCCAAAAGACACCTCAGATTTCTTGGTCTAGAGATACAGCTTGTGGTGAACTACTCTATGAGGATGCTGAGATTTCAAACTCCCATCCTCATGATAGAGCAGCAAGCACCCTCAAGCACTGGCCAATCTTTCCAGTTCCCTATATAACCATAGGGAGACTGAACCTTCTAATAAAAGTTCCCTGACCCAGTATCCACACCCCTAAGTATTTTACCTAAAAGAAATGAAAGCAAATCAGGCGCAGTGACTGTGGCACTTAGAATGAAAATGCCCCCTAGGCTCATGGAGACTGGTACCACAGGGATGCGTGACCTTGGTGAAGTAGGTGTGGCTTTGTTGGAGGAAGTGTATCACTGGGTGCAGGTTTCGAGGTCTCATATATGTCTGGTCACTTGGTCACTGTCTTTTCCTGCTGCCTGTGGATCAAGATGTAGAACTCTCAGAAATTCTCCAGCACCCTGTCTGCCTGCACACCACCAAGCTTCCCAATATGATGATAATGGACTGAACCTCCCAAACTGTAAGCCCCCCAATTAAATGTTTTCCTTTATAAGAGTTGCCATAGTCATGGTGTCTCTTCACAGCAATCAAACCCTGAGACAGTGACACAGGCCTGTAATCCCAGTACTTGGGAAGCTGAAGCTGGAGAACTGTTAGGAGTTCAAGGTCAGTCTGTCTCCTGAAATAAAATAAACCAATGGAAAGATTTTTTAAAGGGGGCTAGATAAGAATGTTTGTGACAGTCATCCATACCAGCCTGTGGCAGTTTGAATGAGAAGGGGCCTGTGGTGGCTGGAATAAGAATGGCCAGGCAGTGGTGGCACATGCCTTTAATTCCAGTGTGCAGGAGGCAGAGTCAGGCAGATCTCTGTGATTCATGGCCAGCCTGACCTACAGAGTGAGCTCCAGGACAGCCAGGGCTACACAGAGAACCAGTCTCAGCAAACAACAAAAATGCCCCTCCATAGGCTCATTTATTTGAATACTTGGTCACCATGGAGTGGAACTGTTTGAAAGGGTTACAAGGGTGAGGAGGTGTGGCCTTGTTGGAGGAGGCATGTCACTGAGGGTGGGCTTTGAGGTTTCAGAAGCCCATGCCAGGCCCAGGGTCTCTCTCCCTTTTTGTTTGAGGATCAAGATCTAGAACTTTCAGTTACTTCCCCAGCAACACGTGTGTCTGTGCGCTGCCGTGCTCTTTGCCATGATGATAATGAACTGAGCAAGTCCCCGATGCTTCCTTTTGCTACAGTGGCCTTGGTCATGGTGTATGTTCTAGCAAGTTTTTTGTTTGTTTGTTGTGTTTCTCTGTTTAGCCCTGGCTGTCCTGGAATTTGCTCTGTAGACCAGGCTAGCCTTGAGCTCAGAGATCACTTGCCTCTGCCCCCACCCCTACCCCAACCCTTGAGTGCTGGGATAAAGGTATGCACCACCATCAGCCAGCATATCCTGGCTAGTTTCATGTCAACTTGGCACAAGCTAGAATCATTTGAAAGGAGAGAATCTCAACTGAGAAAATGCCTCCATAAGATACAGCTGTAGGGCATTATCTTTGTTGGTGACTGATGGAGGAGGGCCCAGCCTGTTGTGAGTGGTGCCATCTCTGAGCTGGTAGACCCAGGGCTCTGTAAGAAAGCAGGCTGAGCAAGCCATGATGAACAAGCCAGTAAGCAGCACCCCTCCATGGCTTCTGCATCAATGCCTGCCTCCAGGTTCCCACACTGTGTGAGCTCCCGTCCTGACTTCCTTTTGTGATGGACTATGAATATATAAGCATAAGCCAAATAAAGCCTTTCCTCCCCAGCTTGCTTTTGGCAATAGTAAGCCAGATTAAGACTGTTTGTCTTCACAGCAATAGAACAGTGACTAAAACTGGTGCCCATGGACTCATAAGTTTGAATGCGGTCCCCAATTGGTAGAACTGTTTGGGAAGGATTAGGAGACTTTGTTGGGGGAGGTGTGTCATTGAAGGTGGGCTTAAAGGTTTCAAAAGCCTACACCAAGCCCAGTTAGCTTTTCCTCTCTGCTCCCTATTTGCAGCCAAAGATGCAAGCTCTCAGCTACTGCTCCAGCGCTATGCCTGACTGTCTGTTGTCATGCTCCCCGCCATGATGGTCACAGACTCGAACCCTCTGGAACCATGAGCCCCAAATTAAATGCTTTCTTTTATGAGGTGTCTTTGTCATACTGTTTTGTCGTGGCAATAGAAAGGTAAATAAGACACAGTCATATCCAGAGGGAATATATATTATGGATGCACACCTATGCTTTATTTGTGATTATATAATGGGTATGAATACACACAATAGCACTACCTGGAGCCATAACTGAGAAGGTCATGTTTGTACCGGTGCCCTGAGTCACCAAAGAGAAACTGCTTTTAGAGTTCTGTACCAGAGGGCAGAGGAATATACAATCCATCATTCAGGGTTTGGCAACCAGAAGTCAGGCTGGTGGCACAGAAGATCATTGCCCTCGGCTAGCCCGGCTACACAGTAATCTCTGTCTTAAGCACTCTACCCCTATCCTAAAAAGTCAGTGACCTGAAGTGGTGGGGGTGAGAGCCATGTAGAGCTAAGGTTGAAAGGTTTCCTAGTTATAGGGATGTTAGAATTTAAACTCCTCCAAGCAAGGGTATGCATCCAGAGCCTGCAAGCAACTTCTGGAATATGATTGGGTCTGTGTGATCCCAGAAATATTTAGGGACAAAGAACATCTTAGCTCATGTGAGTCAAGCTCTGCTGGCTGGGTGGATAGATAGTGTGTACCAGACAGCATAGAGCCTTTCCCCCCTCCCACGCCAGCCCATCCCTACCCCTTTCCGCCATTGACAGTATGGAGATGGAACCACCAAGGTAATCGTTCTGTGATCTCAAGCATCCAGGAGAGAAATCCCCCCTTCACACCAGTCCCCTCTGGAGGAAATACATTTATTTATTTATTTATTTATTTATTTATTTATTTTAATGAAGCTGCTTCTGTTCAAAGTTTCTCTAGTGCCCATATAAAAAGTCTACAATCAGCCGGATGTTGGTGGCGCACGCCTCCCAGCACTCGGGAGGCAGGCCAGCCTGGTCTACAAAGTGAGTTCCAGGACAGCCTCCAAAGCCACAGAGAAACCCTGTCTCGAAAAACCAAAAAAAAAAAAAAAGTCTACAATCCCATCATTGGAGAGGCAGAACGGAAGATTACTGAGCCTACTGGCTAGCCAGCCTAGGGAAATCAGTGAGGCCTATGTTCAGGGAGAGATCCTGTTTCAAAAAAATAAGGTGGAGAGTGATTGAGGAAGACGCTGATCTCTTGTTTCCAGACACACACAGACACACATACACAGACACACATACATATATATATATACACACACACACACACACACATGAACACATGCACACACAAAACAAACACACAGGAACACACATGCACACACGTACAGGCACGGGAATTGGCACTCACATGCATAAGCAAACATTTGCACACACACCCAAAATAACATCCCTGTACTCTGCTAATATAACTATGTGATTTTTGTTGCTCACCTCCTTTCTTGTCTTCTCAGATTCAGTTTCTCTGCTCAAAAACAGCAATTCTGTTGGTCCTGTTTACTTCCTCATACTTCTCAGAAATTCACTTTCTTGTTTCTCTTTCTCTTTTGTCAATGTCCCGTGTCTGTCCTTTGGGGCAGTCGCTGGCACTTAAGCATAGCACTGGGGCTTCTCTGGACATGGGGACTAGCTAGCAGTTAGAGAATATCTGCTATCCTCCTGACTCTTCACATTTTCTTTCTTGCTGGAAACAGCCTCCCCAGCCCCCCCCCCCCAACAGTTTATGGGTTCTGAAAGCGGCTGCCTAAGAGAAACATTAGGAACTGCCCGCCCATCATCTCTGATGGGGCGGATTCTGACAGGGCCACTAGCCTGGGTGCTAAGTAGTGAACTAAGACAATGCCATTTTTCCTTTGATCCTCATGTGCGAGAGGCCAGGATCAGGTGTGACACCCATCCTCGTGAAGGCAGGGAGCCAAGGCTTTGGTAACTAGGGGGCGCGCGCGGGCTCTGGGTGAACCTCCCTTCCTTCCTGTGCCCCGCGGCGGCGAGGGGTTGGACCCTCAGGTTTCCGCAGGCTGCGACCAGGCAGAGGGCGGAGCATCCGGAGGCCCGGGCTGCAGGGGGCGGGTCTGAGCGGCCACCCGGCGGGCACGAGAAAAGAAAGGAGGCGTGCGGAGCGCCTCGGAGTGTCGCTCGGCAAACCCTGCCTCGGTCTGTACGCGACTGGTTCCCCGCGTCGCAGCGTCTGCGTGGTGAGTCCGCCCACCCTTTGGGCGCACCCTGGCCCTGCGGTCTCCTCCGGGGGTCGGCGCCGAGCTTAGTTTGATATCCGTTCGGTCCTTCGCGGTGGCGGGGCTCCTGCGCCTTGGTGGAGGTGGGGTGGGGGCGCCGGCCGCCCGGTGCCACCGCGGAGCTGTGGGCCAGGCACGGGAGGGCCTGGGGTGCGTGCGTGGTCCTGGTCTGCTTGGGGGCAGGCTTCCTCGTGGAGCTCCACTCGGCAGGTGCGCGCGCGCGGAGCGGGGAAGACGGGCCCGAGCTCCCAATGCGCCCGAGGTCCCAATGCGCTCGGCTAGGCGCTCTGCCGTGGCCCCCCGCAAAGATGAACAAGGGACGACTACAGCCCACAAATGGGCCACCCGACAGACTCGGGACCCCAACCCGGACACAAACCTTGAACTCCAGCAAAGGGCACCTTCCCTACACCTGTGGACGCCACTGAGCCCCACAGCTTACACTCGCGCCTAAACTGGGAAAGTGGCTGCCCCCTGCCGCATCTCCAGTACACGAAATGGTTTGAAATTATAGGCAGAGAATGGCTTGGTTTTTTTGTTTGTTTGTTTTGTTTTTGTTGTTGTTGTTGTTGTTTTGTTTAAAGTTTGTTGAATGGTTAGCCAAATAACCCTATAGGATTCTAGAAGAAATATGCAGCCTTCAGCCACCAAGTGGCTGGGCCAACAAGGATTCACTCATTCATTCATTTATATCCTCCATAAATGAATGTACACTAGGGGTGGCCCAGGGTGGAACTGTTGTGAGCAGCGAGAGGTCGGACTGAAAGGCCAGGTGTCGTCGACTCTAGGATGGGATTGGCCCTCATCTGATAAACCTTAGATAAGCAAAGAGCAGGCTAAGCACCCAGCCCGGGCATCCCAGACTTTCTCCAGGCTACTTGCCCTTCCTGGAAGTCGGCCTCGAAACCAGATCCAGGGTGACCTAACTGTGGAAGGGAGTTGGAGAGAAACTGAAAGGATGATGTAGATTTTCCTCATGCCATCTCCACCCAGACCTGACACTGCGAAGTCCCGAGTGCTCCCCTGAGCCTTGGCCAGCGCTGTCCTCCACCAACCCCGGCAGTCAGCTTTGACTCCTCCCTCACGGGAGTCCGGTCTCTTGCTGGGACAACATTCCAGAAGCTTCAACCCCTGAGTGGGTTGAGTTCTTGCAAAATTTCGTAGGTAGGGAGAATTGTGTGTAGGTAGGTAGAAATTGTGTATGTCCTCGCCTCTGCTGGCCCTCTTGGCTAGAAAAGGAATGGCAGTGAGGTTGGCTTGTTACAGCTGCGGTTAGCAGACATGTCACCCGCTGAGTGCAGGTTCCTGAGGAGCAAGGTGCTATCTCCTGGCTACTGTGGGATGTAGTGTTGTGTGGTGCAGACAGCCACCAGGATGAGGTGTGCACTCAGTTCTGAAGAGGGTTAGGTAGGTCCCAGGTGAGTGGGGGCTCTGAAAAGGGGGTGATTAGGCCAGCTGCAGGGGAGTGCTGGGGTAGGGGAGGCAATGTTCACAGCTTGAGGTCACCTGGTTCCTCTTATTTACAAGGAAGAATAGCCTACCCTAGGGCTCAACATTGCTGGGTGCCTGGACTCCGGAAGCAAGGCTCGATGACACAGCCTTTTAGACCTCTTGAAGGGCGGTGCACGCTGTGCCAGCTGTCCCTTCCCTCTCTAGTGAGAGGTTGAGGATTGGGGATCCACTTCTAGGCTGTGTTCAAGGCCACACAGCCATTCTCATCAGGGATGCAGTGAATCTGGTGGTTCCCCGAATGTGAGCTTGAGGTTGCTGGTGTGTGAGAAACTTCTGCCGTGGGTCTGTGGTCATTGGACCTTTGTCCTGTGGCTGCATCTCTGGCCACCATTTGCCAGGCTGTGGCCGTGGAGGGCAGCTAGTGTTTCTGGTTCGGGCCACTCTTCCTGGCTGGGCACCTTCAGAAGCCACATGTACCCTTCCCTATAGTCACAGGCCTGAAGAAGACAGCTAAATTGAAGCTGCAGGCAGGGTGGAGGATGGCGGTGGTCAAGTACCACACAGATCTTTCCATGTTTGATAAGCGCATAGACAGCACTTTGTTTTTCTTTACAATTTTTAATTTTTTTTATGGCTTTTCAAGACAGGGTTTCTCTGAATAGCCTTGGCTGGCCCTAGAACTTGATTTCATAGAGATCTTCCTGTCTTGGCCTCCCAAGTGCTGGAATTAAAGGTATTCACCACCAACACTCGGCTACCAATTTATTTTTTTTAAGGTAGTAGGCTGCCCAGACTAGTCTCCTACTCAAGAGTACTTCCTTGCTGGGCAGTGGTTGCACTCAGGAGGCAGAGGCAGGTGGATCTCTGAGCTCCAGCCAGGGCTCTATAGAGAAACCCTGTCCCAAAAAACAAACAAGCAACAAGTACTTGCCTCAGCCTCCTAAGTCCTGGGACTATAGTGTGCACCATTTATATTAGTTAGCTCATTTCATATTCCAGTAATTAGAGACTAGATTATTACTCACTCCCTTCCTCAGACAGAGAGAGGCTGATTAACTTGTCCAAGATCTCAGGATCAAACCCAGAGCTCCCAGTTCTAACCACACTACATGCTCCATCCCCGGGGAGGTGCATTTGGGGCCTGACCGACCTCGAGGGGAAAGGAACCGAGAGAATGGCCATGGACGCATTTGCTTTTCAGGACGAGGACAAACCCAGGCCTGGTGGGTACCAGATGTGCACTGTGCCTCTGAGTCAGACCGCACCCTCCCTTTTGGTGGACTCTCTTCCCTCCTAGCTAGAGGGCGCCAGGGCAGCTAATGATATGAATGGAGAAGCTGAAACTTCACGGTGGGGCTTCCCCCAAGAACCATCCTGGCAGATGTCCACACAACACCGGGGAAACCACACCCCAAAGTCCTTCCCAGGCTGACTGGGGAGCATGTCCCTCCAGGAGCGTATCTTATCAGGCAAGGTGATTGTGCTGGCATCTTACCTGCTGTCCATGCTGTTCTCCCTGATGTAGGCTGTTGTCCCCTTAACAAGTGAGGAACCGTCACTGTCTTCTAGGGTGTGGGAGACCGGAAGCTGCTGTGGTAGCCTACTGCCAGTCTTAGCCCCTGAGTGTGTTGCAAGCGGTCCAGTCATCTTTTCATTGTATTTTCTGCTGGCCTGGGCACCCCCGTTTCCTCCATGACCAAGCTTGAAAAGAAGTAAGTCATGGGGTGGGGAGCAGAGGGCGAAGGCAGTGCATTCACTGCGGAGCAGCCTCTGGGACATCTGTCTGCCCCATGCTGGCATCCAAAGGGCATCTGACTCCCTTTCTAGACATCTGGCCCCACCCACTGTGTGGGTCTCTCAGAAGCCCAGATTCTGGGCAGGGAGGAAAGCTGGGACTGTGTCTTAGAGGCTTCAAATACCCAGAATGGCCAACTTCTGAGGGCCTAGTGGAGCCACAAGGGATGGGAAATTCAAGTTACGTGGTGCACAGCCCCTCTCACGCCACCCTTCAGCTGTGTGTACTTTTTTCTTTTTGACAGTGCTTGTGGTTAAATGCAGAATCTTTTTCCTGCTAAGCAGTGGTTCTACCACTGAGCTACAGTCTTGTTCTTTTTTTTAAAATATGTATTTATTTAATGTACATCGGTCTTTGTCTGCATGTATGTCTGTATTATGGTGTCAGATCAGGAACTGGAGTTACAGACAGTTGTGAACCACCATGTGGATGCTGGGAATTGAACCCCTGTCCTTTGGAAGAACAGCCAGTGCTCTTTACCTCTGAGTCATGTTTCCAGCCCTATACTCTTGTTCTTTTGTTGTTGTAGCTTTGGAGCCTATCCTGGAACTCACTCTGTAGACTAGGCTGGCCTCAAACTCACAGAGAGTTTCTGCCTGCCTCTGCTTCTGGAATGATGGATTTAAAGGTGTACACCACTGCCCACCTACACTCTTGTTCTTTTTTTTTTCTTAAGATTTATTTATTACATATACAGTGTTCTGCCTGCAGGCCAGAAGAGGGCACCAGATCTCATTATAGATGGTTATGAGCCACCATGTGGTTGCTGGGAATTGAACTCAGGACCTCTGGAAGAGCAGCTCTTAACCTCTGAGCCACCTCTCCAGCCCCTACACTCTTGTTCTTAAAATCTTTGTGTTGCTGGTGTGATGGTTCATGTCTGTAACGCCAGCACATGGGAATCCAAGGCAGGAAGCTGAGAACACATCCACAGCGAGCCTGCGCATGTCTCAAAGGCCCAAATAAGGGACTGGAGATAAAGTTCAGTCCCGGCACAGCATTAACCAGGCACAGTGGTGCACATCTGCAACCCAGCACTTGGGAAGCAGAGGCAGGAGGATCAGGAGGTGAGATCATTCTTGCCTGTATGTCACTTCCAGGCCAACCTGAGGTTCACGCTAGGCAAGCGTTCTGCTGACCGAGCTGTGTCCCCAGTCTTCGTGTACGGGGGTTTTGCTTGCACGGCTTTCATGTCTGGTGCCCATGGAGGCCAGAAGAGGGTCAAATCCCAGAAGAGGGTGTCTGAACAGACCATTGTGAGCTGCCATGTGGGTTCTGGGAACCGAACCCAGGTCCTCTGGAAGAGCAGCCAGTGCTTTTAATAGTTGAGCCATCTCTTAGGCCCGCACCCATGGAACATGCCACCGCATGCATGTGGAGATCAGATGACAGCTTGCTGAAGCCTTCCCACCGTGTGAGTCCTAGTGACTACGCAGACCTACAGACTTGCTACTCATGCTTGTCATCTCACCGGCCACTTCCATAGTCTTGCTACCTGTCCCTTACCAAATGCTTTGTAAAAAAAAATTTCTCCCTCCCTAGGCTGGCTTTGAACTCACTGGGCAGATCAGGCTATCCTCAAACTTGGAGAAATCCTTCTGTTTTAGCTTCCCGAGTGTTCCGACTGCACTTTATCTTCTTGTACATTTTATCTTCCCAGTGGTATCTTTTGAGTCATAGAAGGTTCCAATTTTGAAGACTAATTTATGCGATTTTCTCTTTTGTTACTTGCTTCTGGACTGTGTCTAAGATATTGTCTAGTACAAGGGAATTGAGATTTCCTCCCATGTTCTCTCGTTACTTAATTTTATTTTTAAAATTATGTGTGTGGGTGGTTTGACGGTATGTCTGTATACCAGCTGTGTGTCTGGTGACCTCAGAGGCCAGAAAGGGAAGGGGCATTGGATTCCCAGAGACTGGTGCTACAGCTGTGAGCCGCCGTAGAGATACCATGAATCAAACCCAGGTCCCCTGGAAGAGCAGCCAGTACTCTGCCTGCTGAGGCACCCTCCAGTCCCTGTGTTCTATAAAGTGTTATAGGTTAGCTATTACATTTAGGCCTATCTCTTTTTTATTTCCCTTTTCTTTTAAGAATTTGTTATTCAAAGCGCCACCACACCTTTAATCCCAACACTCAGGAGGCAGAGGCAGACAGATCTCTGTGAGTTCAAGGCCAGCCTGGTCTACAAAGCTACACAGAGAAACCCTGTCTCGAAAAACCAGAAAAAAAAAAAACAACCCTACTAATTGGGCTGGAGAGACGATGGTTAAAATTACAGGCTGCTCTTCCAGAGGACCCAGGGGATCTGACACCCTCTTCTGGACTCCACGAGTACCAAGCACACTTGTAGTACACAGAGATACATGCAGGCAAAACACCATATACACAAAATAAAATAATTTGCTATCGTTCAATGAACCTTTCTGTGTAGTTTCAAGTCATCTCCTGGGACCTCTGGAGTCACTTTAGCTCTTCTGAACTTGGCTTTCAAGACAGACTGCTTAGGGGGTGTGTCAGGATGCCAGAGACGCCCAGTGGTGCCAGCTCCTGACGGGAGGAGCAGCTGCGATCTTGTTTGTGGCATGTGTCCATGTCTGCTCACTGGCAGTTGGGCTTAGTCCCTCTTCGGAAGTTGACCCAGTGTGTCCTGCGCTTGCTGGTGCTGCCACGGCACCCCGAAGTTTCCCTGTCTTCCTCGGTCTGGACAGTATACCCATGGCCAGTGTATGTCTGATAGGAAAGACCTCTATCGTCCATTTTTTTTCCAAATGTATTCACTTAAAAAGTAGTTTTAATTTATTTCCTTTTATGTGTGTATTTCACCTATATGCATGGCTGTGTATCACATGGGTGCCTGGTGCCCGTAGAGGCCAGAAGGAGTCAGATCCCCTGGAACTGGTGTTGAAGACAGTTGTGAGTCACCATGTGGGTGCTGGGTATCAAACCCAGATCCTCTGGAATAGCAGCCGGTGCTCTAACCACTGAGCCATGTCTACAGCCCTCCTGCGTCCATTCTGAGGTCTTTTGTATGGACCCTAGGCAGAGGTACAGATTCATGCCTTTGCTGGTGGATAATTGGTTGTCTCGGGGTCGTTGTTAAAGCACTGTTCTTTCCCCTGGCGGTGACTCCGCAGTCAGCAGTTGAATCATCGGATAGACAGATGGGCGATCTTGGGGTTGTTCACTGTTCTCCATTTCTCTTCAACCAGGCCCGCACTGTCATGACTCTCTAGTGTTCAGTAAGTTTTGAAATCAGGAAGTAAACGTCTGTTTACTTTTTTGTTCCTTTTTAAGATGGCCTATTTTTAAAAATGTTCTCTGTGCTCCCTCATGAGTTTAGGAACTGCTTGTCACCTTCTGCAGAAAGAGCCAGCTGGGGTTTCTATAGGAACTGTACTGAGTGTGCCGGTGGTGTGGAGAGTACTGTAGTCTTACAGCGTGGTGTCTTCCATTTTTGTCTCTCAATAATGTTTGTAGTTTTTGTTTAGTGTCCAGGCCTGACACTTGTATGAAATTTATTTGTATTTTATTTTTTAATTTTTTGGTTTTTCAAGACAGGGTTTTTCTCTGTGGCTTTGGAGGCTGTCTTGGAATTAGCTCTTGTAGACCAGGCTGGCCTTGAACTCACAGAGATCCACCTGCCTCTGCCTCCCAAGTGCTGGGATTAAAGGTGTGCGCCGCCACTGCCCGGTTCTATAAGTATTTTAAATGCTTAGTATATGTATATTAATTTTTTTTCACAGCACTAGGGTTGAACTCGGGCTCTTGGTAGACATGTGTTCTTCTGTGGAGCTACAGGCCCAGGTCTTGGTATTTTCTATTTCTTTTTTTTTTTTTTTTTTCATATTGGAAGTTTTATTAAGGGGGAGGTAAGAAAATAAGGTAAAGAGACACAGAGACAGGACAGAAGGGGGACAGGACACGGAAAGGTCCTGTCTGCCCTCCAGAGGACCAGCGGAGAAAGAGAAAGCAGTATTTTGTTTTTTTTTTTTTTTTTTTGGTTTTTCAAACAGGGTTTCTCTGTGGCTTTGGAGGCTGTCCTGGAACTAGCTCTTGTAGACCAGGCTGGCCTCGAACTCACAGAGATCCGCCTGCCTCTGCCTCTCAAGTGCTGGGATTAAAGGCGTGTGCCACCAATGCCCGGGTATTTTGTGTTTCTTGGTACCATAATAACCATTTAATTTTATTTGTGAATTATCAAAAAACAATCCTTGGGGTGCTTTCTTCTCTGCTGCCTTGCTTTCCTAGAGAATTAGTTCTGGTAGCTTTTTTAGTGGATTCCTTGGATGCCGTGTGTAAGGTCACGTCAGATCATTATGCTCAAGGCATCCCGGTAGACTCCAGCATGCAGCCAGGCTTGAAAATTGCCAAGTGGGCTGGGCACCGCAGCATCTACCTGGCAGGTGGAGGCAGGACTGGCTGGCCCGTGTGCCTGGCACCCTTGCCTTCCGCTCTGGAGTCGTCTTGGTCCTTGACTGGGACATGACAGGTGAAGTGGTCTCCTTGTTGGTACATCAAGGATTCAGTTTTATGGTCTTAACATTTGTTCATCATTGTGAATGGGTGACACGCCTGTTCTCTGTTGAGAGAGAGCACCTGTCTCAGGACTTGAGCTCAGTTGAACTCAGTTTTGTGTCCAATAGGAAGAACAGCATTTGTTATCTGACATGTGAGTTTGGGTCTCTCTCCCTCTCCCTTGTGCCCCTTACTCTGTGTGTGCGTGTGTGTGTGTGTGTGTGTGTGTGGGTGTGTGTTGTTCCTTTTTAAGATCGGCTATTTTAGCCGGGTGGTGGCGCACGCCTTTAATCCCAGCACTCGGGAGGCAGAGGCAGACGGATCTCTGTGAGTTTGAGGCCGGGCTGGACCGACAGCTCCAAAACAATCTGTCTCGTAAAAACCAAAAAAAAAAAAAAAAA